TATGGGATGAAATCGGATAAGGATGAACGGGTTTAAGAGTTTTAAGAGTTTAAGAGTTTTTAAGAGTTTTAGCCAAATGCATTATAATATAGTATAGATATAATCTATAGCTATCTTACATTTGACTTTAATTATCTCTTAAAGGTTGAAATAATTGAAGACTTCTTATGACGATGTCTCCGTTGTCGACAATCTTGTGATAATAATATGATTTTGTTGTGATTTTATTGTTCTAAAGATGTGATAAATTGAAAACCAATGATCACGTCCATAATAAGTGGTTGTCTGTTCATTAATTGATTTAATGTTTTTTCTCCTATTTTACATTCACATGTCTTTGATGTTCCTAAAAAAAGTAAATATTTATTTAATATTTTACTACTCTCTCGATTCTTTTAAAATTGTGACTTAAAACAAATAATGAGTTTACAAGTGTTCTCGCATTTGCATAAATCACTTGTGTTCTCGTTTTAGCCATTCCTTTAGAAGATAGTCCTTGTATAAAAAAACTAATTTATATTTACAAAATTAAAAATAAATTTGATAATGTTTATATGATGTCATATATATAGAGAGAGGCTAAATCGTTTAAAAACTCTTAAATTTGTGAGATACGTGATAACTTCTACCTTAAAGTTTTTTTTTTCACATGATTTTTTTCATCTAAATATAATATTTAATGTATTAAATAACATATATTTAATTTATAATGTGTTTGTTTTATATGTATCCGGTTCACAACGTGTAAATTTTTTAAGTATATTTTTTGTTTCATAAACATGTAAAACATGTTCAGATTGTGAATCAAGTACATGTGAGACAAACACATTGTGAAACAAATATATGTTAATCAATATTAACAAATCCTAATGTTAGATTAAAAATAATCATATGAATTAACACATCATGCACAAGTTCTCAAGGTAGTTAATAGGTTCTTAAAAGAAGGTCCCTATATATATGTGTGTGTGTATATATATATATATATGTATGTATGTATATGTATAAGCGAAGGATCGTGTGAGAAGCATAAAAAGAGAACTATTGATCATTTTTAATATCATGTCCACCCATGAATTACACTTTAGAAGAGAATTGATCTAGTGCATCACATTAATGTCGATATTCAATTCGGATTGAGCTAAGGGTGGAGATCATTTCTTATGTCTCTTACCGTAACTTCTAATGCTACACTAGATCAAATTCTGTGATAAGCTCAATCATTAGGTAAAGGTAAAATTAAAAGTAATTAAGGCTTCAGGTTTTTCCTTACTGTTCTCATTTAACTTTTATTCTTATGTAATCCTTGGTTTTTGTATATATATATATATATATATATATGTATATATATGTATGTATAGACGATTGTGAATTAAGATATTTGTGTGCTTTAACTATTTAACATGTGAATGTCGTGTGCATTAATGCTTTTTAACTATTATTTATTTAAAAACACAAAAAATAGGATATTGTATTGATTGAATGAAAGGTATTATGAGAGATCTCCAATTAATGAGGAGATATGATACGATACAGTTGCTATATATTTAGGAGACATGATATATATATATATATAGGGTATATTTCTTTTACAACCTTGTGTATTTGTACAATCCTTGCAACCCAATTAATTGAGATATATATATGCATGCCCGATCTTCAATCTTCAACTATAAATCATACATCATATCTTCAACCCACCTTTAACAATCCAAGATTCAACAGCTCACACCGAGGTATGTATCTCCATCTTTGTTTACTAACATCAATTCTTCAAATGCATTAATGTGAAGTTGACTCATTCTTCCTCTACTTATGCAGGCTTTAGGGTTTTGAAATCAATCAACCATGGGAGCTGGTGGCCAAATGAAGACGGCAAAAGACATCCTCAAACATGTTCCCGTTTCGAAACCTCCATTTGGGATTTCTGATCTCAAGAAAGCCATTCCACCACACTGTTTCAAACGATCTCTTATACGCTCGTTTGGCTCCTTCTTTCGGGATCTTATCACAATCTACACCTTCTATTCTCTCGCATCCACTTACATTCCTTTGCTCCCTCCGACCCTTTCCTACATAGCATGGCCTCTATACTGGTTTGCTCAAGGTATTATTCTAATGGGGTTTTGGATCCTAGGCCATGAATGTGGTCATCATGCCTTTAGTGAGTACCAGTGGGTAGATGATGCCGTTGGTTTCTTCATCCATTCTGTTTGCCTCACGCCATACTTCTCTTTCAAATACAGTCACCGTAGCCACCATGCCCACACAAATTCCATCGAGTACGACGAGGTATACATCCCTAAACGCAAGTCCGATACCTTCTTCACCGAGTTTATGAACAACGGACCTGGCAACGTGTTCACTCTCATTTACAGAACCACTCTTGGTTTACCCTCGTATTTGATCTTCAACACTTACGGTCGTGATTACAATGGATTTGCAAACCATTTCTTACCACAAAGTGGTATCTTCAACGACCGTGAGCGTGGCCAGGTTGTGCTCTCAGATGTCGGAATCGCTGCGGTTCT